ACGACATTGACTGCAATTTCCCACAATGCAGCAGCTCTCCTCCCACTTCCTCTCCATAGTTACCTCTTCCCTGTGTCCTTCTTCCCTCCCATGCACTCCTGCCCCCTGAGATATCTCCCTGTACATACACAGCCCTTCTATTCTTCCATGATTATTCTCTCCAAGGAGTGTATCTACCTACTGTAAATATTCAGCTCATAGGCCTTACTCTACTTTCTTGGGACTTAAATACTTAAGTAACTTTTCCAAGGTTACACAGTGGCAAAGCCAGGAGTAGAATTTGGGTATTTCTGAGGTCCAAGAGATGGCTTAACCAACTTAGAGAAGATGAAAGGCAGAAATCGGGGACGGATGGCTTTTGTTGTCGCTCCCACTTTTGCTGTTGTTGAAGGGCCACGGGCCACTTCAAACACATAGAACTGAGTGGGATGACCAGTTGGCAGTGCTCAGGATCGAGTAGCTGATTTCGTTCCAGGAATGGAGCAAAGTGGGATCATGGATTACAAACAGGCAGAACAAGTAGAGCAGGAGCTTGCTCCCTTCTGGGCCCCTCTCTCTCTCACCAAAGTAGTAGTAGTTGTTGTTGTTGTTTGCCATTGAGTCGGACCGACTCACAGCGACCCCTCCTTGGGTTTCTGAGGTGATATCACTCAGAAGTAGATTGCCCAACCTTCCGAGGAGTGGCTGGTGAGTTTGAACCGCCAGCTTTCTGGTTAGCAGTCAAGTGCCTTAGGCACTATGCTACCAAAAGGGACCCTTATATTTTCTTCACTACCCCCCTGCCACCCTTCCCATTGAAAACCAGTCTTGCTACCCCTTAGCCTTATACTGTTCTCTCTTTTTTGACCCAGGGGAAAATGCCCACAGGTTAATGATGAGTTTAGTAATATGACAGGGAGCAAAAAACATGAAAGAAGAAGGAAAATGAAGCATGGTTTCAGTTTGCCAACCACTTTCTCATTTATCTATTTGTTTGACCAGCAGTCACCACCCTGTGTGTGTTGGGGGATAGAGGGCAAAGATGATCGTCTCCTCATATTACACGTGAAGAAAAATGCAATCAGTGCAGGTTAAATGATTATTTAAATGTTAAATTGTTAAATGTGGCTTGTCAGTCGGCAAACCAGCCTAGGGCTTTGAGCTTCTCCTAGGTTCCTTGTCCTGGACTCAGATGCATATTCCCAACCCATGAAGATGTGCATTTAACATACTTTAGGACCTGGAATGCAAAAATAATATCTCTAGATGCTGACAGGAAATGTTTTATTTTCATCCCAAATGAGTTGCTTATTTATGTGTGTTATGTACATTATTTGGTTAATTAAAAAAACCAAAAACCAAACTTGTTGCTGTCGAATCAATTCCGACTCATGGTGACTACAGGCGTTAGATAATAGAGCTGCTCCCTGGGATCTTCTTGGCTGTAATCTTTAAGGAAGCAGATCACCAAGCCTTTCTTACGTGGTGATGCTGGGTGCATTTGGACACCAGCCTTTAGGTTAGCAGCTGAGAACAAACCGTTTGTGCCACGTAGTTAATTGTTGTTGTTAGCTGCCATTGAGTCAGTCCTCAACTCGTGGCGACCCCACGTGTTACAGAGTAGAACTGCTCCATAGGGCTTTCTTGGCTGTAATCTTTACAGAAGCAGACCGCCAGGCCTTTCTTCCACAGGGCTGCTGGGGCACTTATTAAATACGAATCCTGAAACATTTAATCCTGCACCCACATGCATCTTTTCAGGTGCCTGTTCTTAGATGTTCTGGATCACAGCTGTTTTATGGGTAAACAGATTCATGACAGAGTAGATTTCCTTGGGGGAGAAAATCCCTAGCCTGGTTTTCCTTTTCCTTCACCAGGAGTGTTTAAGAAGGTAGATGGCTCTCCTGTCTGGCCACCTTACCCTTATCTGATTCCTTGCTGGTAGAGGTTTGTTTTGTTTCTTCTTGCTTGCCAGTTCAGCAGCTTGGAAACAGGGTGGCTGGGCTGAGTGAACAGGCCCAAAGTGGACCATACCATGTAAATTCTTGGTCCTCCCACTCGTCTGGTAGATTAGTTAGTCCATCATCATCATAGCTGTAGAATGTTGCTATGTGTTAAGCCGTGTAAGATGTATGGTGGAATAAAGTGATTAAAATACTTAGCAAAGGGTCTAACATTCATTCAAACTAAATACTGAGTTCCTCCTATGTGTCAGACTGTGTGCTAAGTGCTAAGGCTATAAAGATAAGATAGACACAGTCCCAGCCCTCATGGGTTTAGTGAAGGGCACTGTCACTGCACCGGGCAGTCAGTGAATTACTGTTGTTATCATTAACACTTAATAATGTAATGGCAGTGATGTTATTAATAGAATGATGATTGTTTATCATTTTGTTGTATTTATGAATGAGGGAGGCATATTATCATACTCGATGGCATGTCTACATTTTTTGAACTGCTTTTTATCATACTAGCAGACTTTTGAGAATCTTTGTTTTTTCTCTGATGACTGGAAGGTGCTTAGGGTAAATGTTCATCATTTCTCTAGCTGGAGGAGAATATCATCTATTGGATTAGGAGCTTTGACCCTGGGGATTCTATATTCTAAGAATAAGCACCCTGAGCATCTTCCTGAAGTTGTAGTCTGGTATCTCACTGGCACCAGGTTTTTCTGTTCCTGGCCTGGCTCTTTATAAGGACTGCAGCGTTCTTAAACTAAGCAGGGGAATTATGGATGATGAAATTTGACCAACAAGTTCTTCTGTTTTTTTTATTAATAGCTTTATTGAAATGTAATTCACATACCATGAAATTCACTATTTTAAGATATACAGTTCATTGTTTTTTAGTATATTCACAAAGTTGTGCAACTGTTACCACTATCTAATTTCAGAACATTCATCACCCCCAAAATAGCCCTGTATCCATTAACTCCCAGTTCCCCTCCACCTCCAGCCCTTGGCTTTCTGGGTCTATGGGTTTCCCTATTCTGCACATTTCATGTAAATGGAATTCTGTAATATGTAGCCTTATGGGTCTGGCTTCTTTCACTTTTAGCATGTTTTCAAGGTTTGTCAATGTTGTAGCATGTATCAATACTTCATTCTTTTTTATGGCTGAATAATAGTCCATTTTATGTATTCCCACATTTTATTTATACATTTATCAGCTGATGAACATTTGGATTGTTTCTGTTTATTTTGACTGTTACAAATAATATTTCTGAGAATATCTGTGTTCAGGTTTTTGTGTGGACGTATGTTTTCAATTCTGTTGGGTATGTACTTAGGAATGAAATTACTGGGTCATACGGTAACTCTCTATTTAAATTTTTGAAGAACTGTGAAATGGTTTTCCAAAACAGCTGCACCATTTTATAGTTCCATCAGGAGTGTATGAAGGTTGGAATTTCTCTATATGCTCACCAGCACTTGTTATTGTTTGTCTTTTTGATCATAGCCATCGGAATGGGCATGAAGTAGTATCTCACTGTGGTTTTGATTTGCATTTCCCCAATAACTAACGATGTTGAGCATCTTTTCATGTGCTTTTTGGCTATTTATATATCTTCTTTGGAGGAAAATTGTTTAAATCTTTTGTTCATTTTTAAATTGGTTTATTTGTCTTTATTGAGTTGTAAATCGTTGTTGTTGTTATGTGCTGTCGAGTCGGACCCGACTCATAGAGACCCCTCCTTGGGTTTCCGAGGCAGTATCACTACGGAAGTAGATTGCCCCATCCATCTTCCTTCTGAGGAGTGGCTGGTGGGTTCTTTATATATTCTGGATACTAGTCCCTTGTCAGGTAATTGATTTGCATATATTTTCTCCCATTCTTTGGGTTGTCTTTTCACTTTCTTGATGATGCCCTTTGCCACAAATTTTTAAAATTTTGATGGTGTCTAGTTTAATCTGTATTTTCTTTCTTTGCTTTTATATTTGCTGTCATATCAAAGAAACCCTTGTCTAATCCAAGGTCATGCAGATTTGTTGTTGTTAGGTCATTGAGCTGATTTTGACTCAGCAACTCCATGTGACAGAGCAGACCCTGAGGGTTTTCTAGGCTGTAATGTATTGGGGAGAAGATCTCCAGGTCTTTCTCCCACAGAGCTGCCGGGTGGATTAGAACTGCCAACCTTTTGGGTAGCAGCTGAGTGCTCAACCCTTTGTACCATCAGGGCTCTTTCATAAAGTTTCATTTCTAAGATGTCTATAATTTTAGCTCTTTCATGATCACTAAGTTCTTATACTGACCTAGGCTTCAGAGATTCCTCTGCACTGTTTGCTAGGGGTAGAGAGTGGGGTGGGGAATGTTATTCTAGGGCTTCCTTTCCTTGCCACCTTGATGAGCCAGTCAAGGACCCTGATCCAAGGAAGCAGTGGTTCCTAGGTGTTTCTAGCTATTGAAATTTCTATATCTCATTTCATTGTCTTTTTTTTTTTTTTTTTTGGTAAGGTAACGAATGAAGAGGACTTTATTAGGAAATTGGACTGCAAACCCGATCAGAATCTGAAGGTGGTTTCCATTTTTGGAAATACTGGTGATGGAAAGTCTCATACCCTCAACCACACTTTCTTTTATGGCCGTGAAGTCTTCAAAACCTCCCCTACCCAGGAGTCCTGCACCGTGGGAGTGTGGGCAGCCTATGACCCAGTCCACAAAGTAGCAGTGATAGACACGGAAGGGCTCTTGGGGGCCACAGTGAATCTAAGCCAGAGAACACGGCTGCTGCTTAAGGTTTTGGCCATCTCAGATCTGGTCATCTATCGAACTCATGCAGACCGCCTGCATAATGACCTCTTCAAGTTCCTTGGGGACGCCTCAGAAGCTTATCTGAAGCACTTCACTAAGGAGCTCAAGGCTACCACTGCCCGCTGTGGTCTGGATGTCCCCTTATCCACCCTAGGCCCTGCTGTCATCATTTTCCATGAGACTGTGCACACACAGCTGCTGGGCTCTGGTGAGTAGCGGGGACTGTGGCACAGATTACCTTTCTAGGAACACGGAGGTGATCGTTGGGCTGCAATAGCAACTTGGTAGTGGTGCATTGACATGAAAAATTTCTTCCCAGCCAACACAAAGAAGTGTTTCCAGAAGGATGGAGTGATCAGCCATGTGAAAATCTGCTTATAGGTCAAGCAGAGTGAGGCTTGAGAATTGGCAATTGGCTTTGGCAACAGAGGTCACTAGGTGAGCTGGTTAAGAGCTGTTTCACTGGTATGGTGGGGATGAAAGCCTGATCAGAGTGGTGTCTAGCAAGAATAGGGGGAAGATTAGAGACAATGAGGGTATTCAGCTCTTTCAGAGAGCTCTGTGTAAACAGCAGAATGGCAATAGCTGGAGGGACACGTGGAATTGGAAAGAATTTTCTTCTTTAAAAATGTAAGATGTAAGATATTATAGGTATTTGTGTACTGATGGGACTGATTTATTAGAAAATGGACAATTGCTGATGCAAGAAAGAAACAGAGCGTGTGCGCACAAGTAGGAACAACTGAAGTAATGCACAGATGGCAGGGCTGGCCTTAGGAGCACAGACAGTTCATCCATAGTATTGGGGGGGGAGGGTAAAATATGGGTGAGTCGGTGGATGTGGTGAAATGTGTGTGTGTGTGTGTGTGTGTGTGAGAAAATTCTTGTTTTATTGTTTCTGTTTTCTTAAATAGGAAGGTGAGATCATCATCTGAGTGGGAGGTTGAGGGAGGAAGAGTATAAGAGCAGTAATTAAATGTGGGGGGATGGGAGGTGGGCAGTGTTATTGGCCCCTAAAACAATTAACGGTTTACCTATTCATCAGTCAACAAAAGGTTATTGAGTGCACAATGTCACATGCTGACCACTGAAACACAGAGCTGAGAAAAACAAATTTTACCTTGTAATAGCTCACAGTCTAGTTGGGAAGACCAGGAGGTATTCTGTTCTGTTAGACGTAGGTACCGAACCGAACCGTGGGTACCGAACCGTGGCAGTGCAGAGGAGGGAGGGACACTTTACTCTTAATGGGATCTAGAAAAGAGGAAGTGACATTTGATCTCTGAAAGACCTGGATAGATAGAGGAGGGGAGGAAAGATGTTCTCTAAAGAGCAAACACCTACTGGATTAAATTGTGTTCAAGGAACTGCAGGCAGGTCTACAATTCTTGTTGTTAGTTGATGTTGAGTCATTTCCAACTCATGACAACCCCATATATGCAGAGTAGAACTCCTCCATAGAGTTTTTGAGGCTGTGAGCTTTTTTTTTTTTTAATTTTTATTGTGATTTGGGTGAAAGTTCACAGAGCAAATTCACTTTCCCTACAGCAATTCACATACACTTTGTCTCATGACATTGACTACAGTTTCCCACAATGCAACAGTTCCCCTCCCACTTCCTCCCCATAGTTCCCTCTTCCTTGTGTCCTTCCCTCCATGCACTCCTGTCCCCTGAGCTGTCTCCCTGTGCACACACAGTGGCTGTGACCTTTTGGAAGCAGATCACCAGGTGTATCTTCTGAGGCAACTCTGGGTGGGTTTGCACTGTCAGCCTTTTGGCTCGTGGTCGAGCACTGAATTGTGCCACCTAGGGACTCTGGTTCTACAGTAGCCCCACATTATACCCTAGTCCCTTTCAATCCACTCTTCTCACAGTGTCCAGAGTGATCTTTTTAAAAGTTAATTTATAATTCAGATCATGTCATACTCCTGCCATCACACACCTGTCAGTGGTTTTCTACTACATTCGAAATAGAATTCAAACTCCTAAATATGGTATAAAAAACACATTGGCACTGAGTTAATTCTGACTTATCTCGACCCTTTATTACAGAGTAGAACTGCCCCATATGATTTCCAAGGCTGTAAAACTTTACGGAAGCAGACTGCTTCATCTGTGTCCTGTGGAGCAACTAGTGGGTTCGAACTGCCAACCTTTTGTTAGCAGCTCTCTAACCTTCTTAGTCTCTTTCCTC